ATTAAATGCTTGGTTCTTTTAAAAAGTCATTTTAATGTCAGAGCTTTACAGCAATGGAAAAAACTGACCAGCTGTACATTAAATCACACCTAGATTTTTGTGTGCAAGGCATGCATGGTCATCCTTTCTCAAATCAAAATCTTGCTCTATTCCAACAATGCGCAATATTGTTCATTGTTGTTTAATTTTTTCTACAAATTAAACATCCTTTCTTTTTTTCTTATTATTATAATGATTTTTTATTTTGTTTTGTTTTCTTGATTATGTATTACAATATTTAAAATTAGCGCATAATGCGATATTAATTTACTACAGTAAACTTTTTCGAAAGTAATTTTATGATGTTAATTCGGCTGGAGCAATCTTAATCACCTGCATATGAAAGTCTGATGTTGCTTTCCTTCATCATTATTAAACTTTTTATGTGTAAGTTTTATTGGTTATTGTAATAAATAAAAATCTGAGATCTTTTTGTTTCCCATGACTCAAGATGAGCAGATAATTTGTCTTGGGTCAACACTCTTGTCGATGAAACAGAATTTTTTGAAAAGTCAATAATGATAGCAAAATTGCAATGAACATTGGTATGCATGAGTTTTCCATGAGCTCCCCGAACATAAGCTTTAAGCAAATATCTTTAACGTTGTGCTTTGTCATTTCATAAAACAAATTCAATTCAAAATTGGGATTAAAATACTTTTTTAAGATTCTCATTCATCTTGTTTATAGATTAAGAACCGGTAAAAATTAAAGCTTGTGAAATAGAAGAAAGTTTTATGAAAAATATTTTGCATCTTAATAGTTTGATACAGTCTTCATTTTTCAGTTGTGGAAACACTTTAAGCTTTCTCAACCAAATACTAAATGCTTATTTTTCAATCTATATGCATTCTTATTTGAATTTTTTAACTCAACGCTAGCATCTCTCGCCTAAGGTAAACAATCTTTAATTAAAACAGAACTGATATTTAAAAATGATTGTAGGGCTACTATGTAACAAGAGATTTAGAACATCTATCGGACATACATGTTGAAAAGGAATTTGGTTAAACTCTGTCATAAGGTGACATAATAATAAAAATTTTGCTTGTAAAAAATGCAAAAAAATAGAGAGTTTTTAATGTTAACTTTAAAGAATCTCTTTAATAATCCTAATCAATGAATGTGTTGCATAAGTATTGGGGTAGGGTGGGGTAATGTGAATTGAAGGAGTAATGTGGGTCTAATCAACATTTTTCTGTTTAAAAAAAGAAAAGTTTTAGGTAGAAGTGTTTTTTTTTGTTTTTATAGGTCGTTAAAACAGTTCTCTAAATTTTAACTATCAGCTTACTATGCAAATTTTAAGGTATATGTTTGAATTTAAAATGGCGCATACATTTGTAGAAAGATTTTTATCAAAAACCTTAATCTTCAGAAAAAGGGTACTAAAAACGGGGTCTTAAACATAGAAAATGTTTTATTTTTAAGAAATATTATTAACATTGAAATAAGCAACATTTTTTGGCGGGGTATTCTGGGTCTATATGTCAATATGTTTTGTGTCGTTAAGAAACTAATGCTTATACAACAATAAACACCAAAATAAAATAAAAATGAAAATTCACATAAATTAGAAGTTTGACTATATTTCTGGATTCATTTTTCTGAAGTCATGTTGCTTATATGGATTCTTTTAGATGATCATTAAAGATGTAATGATATCATGTTTTCAATTAAACCTAGTAGATAAAGCAGCATAGCAGTTGAGTAGGATTGGAGTAGGAATTTTTATAACATGTTGTTTTTGTAGGATTATAAATCTCTAAAATAAAACAACATAAATTTTTTGTGTTATTAATTTTTAACACAAATTTTTTGTGTTAAAAATAAATAACACAAAAAATTTTGGACAATTTTCAATTAGGCTTTTGCTTTAAATTCTTCCTCAAACATAATTTCACCATGCTTTGACTTTTATAAGTACTTCGACTTTTAAATTTAAATATCATATATTCAATTAGGCAAGTCATAATATGATTTATTCTATATATAAAGAAAATTCGTAAAATAAAACATATGGAAATTGAACCAAAGAATACTCTTAATTACTCTCTAATTTTTACTACTCTCTATTTTTCTTTCGAAAACAGATAACAGATTAAAAAAAAAAAATTTGCATTTCTAATTTAACGCTTGGAGAAAAGTAAAGCTTTACTTTTTCAAAGCAAAAAAAAAAAAAAAAAACTTTTGATCAAATCCTTTAAACATAATGGCTTCATTTATATTTTATTATAAGTTAGTATATTTTATTGAAAAAAGATAAAAATGTAACTTAGACCCACTCACTATACTCACGGGGTAATGTGGGCCTATAGAATACAACTCAAATAAGTGTTCCCTTAGACATCTAAAAATTATGTATAAATTTTTTTTGATGCAGTTTACAAAAAATGATGCCTAATCATGATTTTAAAATTGTTTTGCTATATATATTTTTTGCTCAGTCAGAAATAGGTAAAATAGGCTCATTTTACCCCACCCTACCCTATTAAATCCAGAGAAGATTCAGGTTTTCTTGAACATATAGATCTAAAGTAACAGTATTAGAAATAAAAGCATAATCATAAACTTGTATAATTATATTAATTTTCATTAAATTGTACATGCTTTTTAATTATAAAACATGTACAATTATACTCTACACATGCTATGCCTCGGGCGTCATAAAAGATCTCAGCGGCCTTGAATACCACGTTAATAAGGGTTATTGTTACTTTTTCCTTTCGCAGCCAGCATTGTTATGGGAGTGCCGCGTGGGTTCCGTAAGGGATGCCAAATGGGAACCGTACGGGATTTGGCCGCGGGAACGATATGGGTACCATACGGGCCAAATAAAGAAAAAACGGAAAATTTATTGGTGGCTTTTTGCTATTTTCCCCTATTCACCCCAAAATTTTCCCGCATATATATTTTTATTTTTTACTATGTATAACTTAGATTTTTCATACCTTAAATAAACAACAATTTGTCTAAAGCAACTTTTTTTTTTATTTTAAATAAATTAAATAATTAATTTAATTATGATAATTCCTTTTTAAAGTTTTAAAAGCTAAATGTTTTATATGCAAATTGAAAACACAAGGACATATACATGTATGTTATATTAAATGAAATATATATATATATATATATATATATATATATATATATATATATATATATATATATATATATATATATATATATATATATATATATATATATATATATATATATATATATATATATATATATATATATGTATATACAAGTGTTCGCTGCTGTATTCTTTACGCTGTTGCATTATGTACATTCTATATGTTCTTTTCTGTGTTTGATGCTACATTTGAAGTTCGTTCTTTTCGGGCGTCTTTTCCTTTATCTCGAACATTACCAAACCAAGCACATTACCAACATTACCAAGCAGAAAGTGTTTCTTCACGTAGTTTTTTTGATAAACTTCGTTTTGTTTTATATTTTTTTTCATGCAGCACCTAAATATACGTTAGTTGTAAAAATTGCAAAAGAATTGTTACTATAGTAAATTTCTTTTGCAATATATTTTATCCAAAAGTATGGCGTTAGGTAGTTTCAACATATTACTATAAAGTATTATGATTTGATTTAGTAAGTATATATTCTTGGTTTAGTAGGTATAGATTGATTACATATGTAATACATACATGTATATGTCCTTGTGTTTTTAATTTGCATATAAAATATTTAGCTTTTAAAACTTTTACAAAAAATTATCATAATTAAATTAATAACTTAATTTATTTAAAATGAAAAAAGTTGCTTTAAACAAATTGTCGTTTATTTAAGGTATAAAAAACCAAAGTTATACATAGTAAAAAATAAAAAAAATATCTGGAAAAATTCTGGGGTCAATAGGAGAAAAAAAAAAAGCAACCAGTAAATTTTTTGTTTTTTCTTTATTTGGTCAGTATGTTACCCATGTAGATCCCGCGGCCAAATTCCGTACGGTTCCCATTTGACATCCCGTACAGAATCCACACGGCACCCGCATCACAATGCTGGATGGGATAGCTCGTTGTTGGCTAAAATAATTTTTAATAAATCTTGAAATAGCATTTCAGTTTAAACAGCAACATATAAAAGGTATTTAGCTAAATCAACAACCATATCAACAGTGATATTTTTTTGCCAAGATAAAAAATATTTCCTTAATCAGCCTTGTTGAAATTTCAAAGTCTTTGATCTATAGACAATTTCCGATCTTTAAATTATTAAGAAAAAACTTCAGTCAATCATTTTAGTCTTTCATCACTTATTAAACAAAATAGCTCAGAAAACGGATTTTGCTTTCTCGTGCAATCTACAATATATATCACATTGACACAATCCTAAATTGTCATATTATATTGTCTCATAGATTATTATCAAACGTTAAATAAATATCAAATATAAAATATTTAACATTTGACAAATATCAGCAGTTCTAGAAGCTTCAGCTGAACCAAATGTTTTCAAAGCAATGCTAAAAGATAAACCGGCTACTTAAGCCCGTTTATCTTTTAGTTTATCAAAATTCATTTTGCGGCTTAACCAAGTATGTTCTAACGAGAATTTTATAGCTGATTCTCCTATAATATATTCCATAAATTCTTTATAATTATACCTTTTTAGGTTTATACAACGATAAGCAAAAACAAATTATTAAAAAAAAATTCAAAACAATTATTTAAAAAAATCTCATCACATTATCTTTTATTTGTTTTCTTTTTTTTTATCTCTATAAAAATAAGATACAAAAATGTTATAAAAAGTAAATACAACAAAAAATTAGAAAAAATTAAAACTTAATTTAAAACATTTTGAACAAAAATAAATGAATCATTGTTTTAAATCAATGTTTTGATCGGTGGAAAATAAACTGACAACTAGCTTTGCAACAACTGTTGAGCAATACTTTGAGCAACTGTTGAGCAATAGTATGAGCAACTGATGAGAAACACGAGCAGTTAATGAGCAATTTTTTCTTTAGTTAGTTTTGTTTCATTTTTGCAAACATATATAAAAGACGATTGTTTAAAGCAAAGAGTTAGTCGTATTCAGAGCCAATAGTAATACTTATATTTCCTGGATGAATGAATGTTGAATGAAACCATTTATTTGTATCAATGACAACTAAAACAAAATAGAACATTTAAAAATTCAAAACAATACGTATTACTGAGGTTTTATTAAAAAGTAAAACTCAGGATACCAAAATACTATTTAAAAATCTGAGTCTAAAGTGTTACCACAATATAAAAATATACTTATATCACTAGGTTCCATTGTTGCTTGAAGGTGCATTGGGCAAACCGATTCACATTCTGGTGGAGGTTCTATATACCAGGTTTTTTTCCCTTTAACTTGAGCTTGCCAAGATGGTCGATTAACATAATCAATCTAATTAATTAGATAAAATTATGAAAAACGTTTGATTACGAATTTATAATAATACAATTGCACACACATACACTTAATAGTTCCTAAACTTATATTTGGCTATGAGCTATGCTCAAGGCCATATATAAGCTTAGTTAACTGTATTTATCTTTTGAAATAAAAGATTTCAAAAATAAAAGGCTATTTTGCTTTAAAACAAAGTCAAGTAACAGACAGTTGAATATTTGCTATTTACTAATAATAAATCAGTTACTAGCAACACGAAGTAAAAAATAAAGAAGTTTCGAGTTCAATCCCCACCATGTCTTTGTTATTACCGCGCTCAAATTGTTTGTCCACACTGCAGCTTTTTTCGTCAAAATGTTTTTCGGAGTAAAATAGTTGTTAAGAGAAAAGGTAGTAACTATAACAATAAAGTAACAATAAAGTAGCCTCTCGGCCTTTGGAAGGTAAATGACATGAGAAAAAAAATAATAATGAAATTACAGGTGATAAAAAAAAAAGTTATTTTTACCACCAGTTAATTATATTAAATAAATTATTTATTAAACGGATTATTTTAAATAAACGCGGAAAAATTAGAAATTTGTAAATTAAATAAAAACGTAAGATTGGTTTCCAATAGTCGTAGAAACGTCGTACAACATTTAGACATCTAATACATTTTATTATAGAAATAGCTTTTTGCGTAGTTTGCATAATTTAAGTTGTAGAAACCTAAATCTAAACTAACAACAACTGTTGTAACAATCTAGCATAACTATCGTACAATAAATATTGTGCAACAACTATTGCGCGGTATTTTCAGAATTATTGGAAATCAGCCATAAAGAGATCACAGTCAAAACTGCTGTAGAGGTGTTTTTTTTGCCAGTTCCAACAATATAAACTACGTAACCAAATGCAAATCAAAAATGGTCTCAATACAAAACTGTGTTTTGAATGGAAACCATAAGAAAAGCTGCTAAAACCCTTTATTTAAAAGCAAACTATTGCGTAATATTTATTTTGAGCTACAATTGTATTTTTGCGTTATACTGCGTTGTATTTTTGCGTTATACTGCGTTGTATTTTTGCGTTATACTGCGTTGTATTTTTGCGTTATACTGCGTTGTATTTTTGCGTTATACTGCGTTGTATTTTTGCGTTATACTGCATTGTATTTAAAATGGAGCTTAGGAGCTGTATTTAATTAATAACTATAACTGTTTAATTTTTTTAAATACTTATTAAATAAAATCTTTAATAAAAACCCGTCTTACATGCATAAGAGCACCCGTTCCAGAACCACCCATAAACACCCAATCCAAAGCACTTGATTCAGAATCATCAGGTAAAAACGATGGGCGTTGATAATGATGGCGGAGAATTTCTTGTACTCTCGGTACACAATTACTCCTAAAAAACTTTAGACATATAATCATAATGATAATAATAAAATAATATAATACTTAGTGTATCATGGTTAGATAACAAACATACCAGCCAATATACCATTGATCTTCCGTAAGATTTGCTCTCTCTTTGCTCATAAAAAGTACTTGTTTCAAGCTTTTAAACTCTGTTTTATAAGGGAAAAATTGGCAACCAAGATCTTCGTTATCCTTAAACGCTTTTAATTTAGCATAAAGAACTCGAAAGTATCGCCAACCAAATATTCTTAACGCGGTCCAATTTCCAGTACCTTGTTTTACTAGAACAGGCACACCAGTATATGCATGATGCTTCAAAAAATATTCTTTCGTAATGTTGTATACAATCGGTACCTAGATAAGTTAAATAACTATAAACTTTATTTTTAAACAAATTGTCGTAAACAATTTAAATTAGATAAGAGTGAGAAACTGATAAATTATTCATCCCATAGTTAGAATGGGATGAATAATTTATCATTTGTAATCACGTAATTAAAGACAAACTATTGTTTAAATTATTAAATTTTTTACTGGATCTTCGCACGGGTGTTACCAGAGTATTCCACTTTTTTCAATTTCAGAGTATTCCACTTTTCAATTTCAGAGTATTCCACTTTTATCTTATTTTTGAAGGTTTTTTAAAGAAAATGCGGATAATTTTGAGACATCAGAAAGTGGTCAAAAGATAATTTTATTAAAAAAATAATCAAAAACATTGTATATTTCATAATCAATCAAGTTGCACAGCTCGGGGAGTAATGTTCTTTCACAGGTAGGACTTCCGTTTACTCGCATTTAGTGTAAAGTTTGTCTTTAACGTTAATTATTTAATCGTATTTAAATGGAAAAGCCTTGTGCAAGTTGTTGTACAACTTTAAAACTTTATGTTAAATGTTACTTTGACTGCAAAATAACTACTTTAAATTTTCCAGCAAAATTATTAAAGCTAATTCGAAAAGTAAAATGTATTTGTGAAACAGCAAAGATCTTTATCATCTTATATCAAACAATATTTATTTAAAAAAATTAGTTGACATCAGAGGGGATTCTACGAATAGTATGAGGGGAGGGGAAGACGAGTACTTAAAAAGCTGGCTCTTGAAAAAAAAAAAAGCTCCTTAAAGCTAAAATTCACCCGACTGAAATGACTAGCATGATTAATCATTTCAACTAGCCGACTATGTTCCTCAAAAAACCGACTATAACTTGAAAATTACCGTATTTTGGATATCAAAATACGGTAATTTAAATTTCTCCGCCTCTAATTGACATCGCCAACCTCAGTAAAATTGCTTCTGATTGATGTTATAAAATAAAAATGTTGGTTGCTAAAAACATAAGACTGATTCTAAACTCTTATATTAAAGGTTCACAGACGATCAAGATAACTAAAACAATATATTTTGACTAGATCATAAATAGTTTATGACTTTCCAATAAAAGAATGTTGGTGTATAAATTTTAAGATCATAGATGACAACTATAAACAAAGTTAATATTCCACAAAAAATCAACGACAGTTATTTAATCAATGAACAATTTTAGAAAACCGTGTTCAGATTTATCTATTAAAACACCAGAATTGATGTTTTCTGTGGCAAGATCACTCAACATATTTAATGTCAATATATTTTTTGATAAATTACAAGATTATCTTACAAGTTTACTAACATTTAATACGTACATACGAACATTGCATCTAATTACAGGCCATTTTTCACGAACATTGCATCTAATTACAGGCCATTGCATCTAATTACAGGTAATACGAACATTGCATCTAATTACAGGCCAATCTCATTAACTTCTATCCCATGTAAAGTTTTGGAATCACTCATTAGAGATGAAATTATGGATTACCTAATAAATAACAGCTTATTAAATGAAAATCAGCATGGGTTCAGAAAAAATAAAAGCTGCACAACAAACCTATTGGAAACTCTTGATATCATAACAGATGCACTAGAAAATGGCCACTCAGTTGATATGTTGTATCTAGACTTTGAAAAGGCTTTCGATAAAGTACCACACTCGCGTTTGATCACTAAACTTCAATCATATGGTATTGTGAGAAATTATCTGGGATGGATAGAGAACTTTTTAACTAACAGAAAACAGAGAGTGGTCCTTGGCGACACAGTCTCAGATTGGCTACCAGTTATTAGTGGTGTACCACAGGGGTCAGTTTTAGGACCACTGCTGTTTTTGATTTTTATTAATGATTTGCCAGATCAAGTCAAAAACCCTATTAAACTTTACGCTGATGATAGTAAAATAATAAATATTATAAAAAATCCTAATGATTCATCAAGCCTTCAAAATGATATAAATAACATAATGGCATGGTCATCTATTTGGCTCACAAAATTTAATTATGAAAAATGCAAAGTTATGCATATTGGGAAAAAAAATCCAAATGCTACATTTATAATGACTGATATTGATTGCAATTACAATTATACATTGTGTAACACAAAAGCTGAACGTGATTTGGGTATAATGGTTCAATCCGATTTAAAATGGCACTCACAAGTTGATTCAGCAACCAGCAAAGCAAACAGAATGTTAGGTACCATAAAGAGAAGCTTTAAATATTTAGATGTAAACATGGTAAAAATGCTCTATACAACGTTCATACGTCCACATCTTGAGTTTGCGGTCCAGGCATGGTCTCCATTTTTAAAACAAGACATAGACAAGATTGAGAAAATCCAAAAAAGAGCAACCAAACTAGCACCTACAATTAGGAAATTATCATATGAGGCTAGGTTGAATATTATGCAATTAACGTCACTGGAAGAACGTAGACTACGTGGAGATCTGATTCAACAATATAAAATTCAGCATGGCCATGATAAAATAAATTGGGTTGCTAACGATTGTGGAAATGCATTGGAGGAGGGTCCATGTCTGCGACAACACAAATTCAAAATGAGGAAGCCTTTTAGCAAAAATACCTTCAGGTATCATTTTTTCCAAAATCGAGTTGTAAATGCGTGGAACAGCTTACCATCTGAAATAATAGAAGCTACTTCAATAAATAACTTCAAAAACAAACTAGATAGAGCTGGATTTTGCAGAAACTATTTGTTAAAACACAAACAAAAGACAAAATGAGCTGTTACAGTGCAATATCTTATGTTATTGCACTTCGCAACTGTTTAAAACAGTTGTTACAGCTATACCTTATTATTATATTATTATTTGCATATAGAATCCGGCTTTAATGAAACCAAAACTGTTACTGTGCAAAACCCTAAAAAAGTTTAAAATTATCAATAAATAGTATTTTTATTAATTTATTTTTTTCTCATAAAACTACTAAATATTTTGTTTTTCAAAAAGATAGGCGTTATGAGAGTCTGCAAAGGTTCCCTGTTGGTAAACAGGGAACCTTCATCACAACTTGTGTAACAATAATTGCTTCTGGACGATATATTCCGCCAGTACTTATCCTTTCAAGAGTACATTTCAAGGAATATATATCGTTAGTTGCTACTTCTGAACTACTTATAAAATACAAGCACGTTTACATAATAGTTTACATAATAGTTTACATAATAGTTTACAGAATAGTTTACAGATAAAAAATTGATAAAAAATTGTAGAAAAGATGAAACTGCATTGAAGAATTTGAAAACCTATAATAGAATAGGTTTAAAAGAACAACTTAACTAAAGAACAACTTGTGAAACTTTGATATCAACTCAAGAATTTTAAATATCAGTATTACTCAAATTGTATGATTAATATGGAATACCTAAACGAATAATAATATGGAATAAAACGAATGCGATTGTAAATTAAAGTGACCTTAGACTAAGAGATTTAAGTTATTTGTTATCTAATTTTCACTTATTTAGTTTAATATCTAACTTTATTTTTCAGCTAAAAATAGGTTCTGGTTCACTTCTACTATTTGCTTAAATAACTCCTACCCATTCTCCTACACGGTATGGGTAAGAGTAAATTAGTACAAATTGACTTTTGCTCAAGTCAATAAAAATCTGGAATTGTTTTAACATTTTTTTATTACTGTTAATAACCTTTTCCATCAAATACCTCAGGATCCTTATTCTTCATTTTTATAATTTTCATTTCGTTGATATAAATCATTTTTTTTAAAAAGGGCCATACTCCAACCTGTGCTTTCCTGCACTCAATCGCGCAAGCCTAGATTTTATTTGGAGTAATTTTGCTACGGCTGTATAACTAGATTTTTATTGATTAAAAATTAACTTTTTCAAAAAAATTTTAATAAAAATCTTAAAATTAAAAATCTTAAAACAGCGCACTCAGGACAATCAAAAAACGGTTAAATTAAAGAAAAATTGACATAAATCGTAAATAAATAATGTAATATATTAAGATAATAATTTTTAAGTCGAAGATTTCAAATTTGTTAATAATCTTTTTTTTACGCGCCGCTTCGACGCGTAAAATGCGCGCTTACGCGTGTTAAAGGTTATATACGCGTACAAAAATTATTTTTTTTAGTTTTTAGAATCTTCAAGACAAACACTTAAATTTAATATATTATTCTACTTGATATTTTTATAAAAATGGTTTTTAAAGGATGTCGAGACATAGAGAAAAAATACTGTATTTTTTTACATTAAATTTATTATTTACATTACAATTAATTTAAAAACTTCATCTGGTAACGGTTTTCCTCGATAGCTCTTATGTTTTCTAAAAGATATGCTTGATATTTTTGGATCTGATCTTACTAGAAAGTATTGCATCTGATTCATCATTGTGTTTAACCTTGATATTTTTGCCGTGTGCTTAAGTCTAGAATTTCTTATCTGTTTATTTAAACTCTCTAGTGCATCTTCCGAATATACCCCAATTGGCAAAGGTAATTTATATGGTATAGAAAAAACTTCACTATTTTTAAATGCTCTTCTGGCAGTTTTGCCGTCATTCGTGTTTCCAGACCCAGTTTTAGGCATATCAACGTATAGGCTTAACCGTTCTCTGAAGAGTACCTGAATCTCTTTTTTTTTAAGTCTACAGATAGTTTTTCCTGAATTGTTTTTGGCTTATACTTTTTAATTTCAATTTTATAACTCAAATGAAGAATGAACTCCAAACATTTTATCCAGCAATGTAAAGCTGAAATTCCGAGCCCCTAGGCCGAGTCATTCTCAGTTTTTGCTTTTAGTAAATCAATATTGTTCATTTCCTTGGGTTTAGCATTGCACACATTGCAGGATTGTGTGGATTTTGTCTCTGTAAGTGCGCTAACTACTTTATTATCAAACATTGTAAGATCAATCCTATAGCTGAAATTAAATGTCAAAATTCTTCCTGCAATATTAAAAACTCTGCAAAATATCTTTAAAGTATTTATTTGATTTTTTAGATCTGATTCTTCTTCTCTGGATAAAATTGGACTTTCTTTTTTATATTGTAGATGAAGAGGTCTACAAAAGTGACAGCTTGAAGGATTTTCATTTTTCCAAATTTCGCCATTTTCTACTTTGAGCAATAAAGGCACCAAAGGTGTACTGAAAAGATTTTCTTGATGCTTAAGTTCTATACTTGCGTTGCTTGTATCGTATTTCTGTTTATAAATACTTTGGCTTGATGCTCCATCAAAACCAATCTTTCCATATAAAACTCCAAATATTTCATCACTTTGACCAAAATTAGGCATATCAATCATTTCTGTTATTCTACTCACAGTGTGATCTAACATGCTTTGAAGAGTACACTTTGCAGAAATTTCAGAAAAATGTATATTATGTATGTTAATGGGAAAGGTTTTATCCAAAGTTTTATCAACTTTTTCTATCTCTAAAACATTAGATATATTGTTTTTTAAAATAGAGGCTTTTTTTTATTCTCCAACAGCATTTGCACTTTTTGCAGAAGCTAAAAATAGATGATTCATGATGTTCAGTGGCTAGTTCTTTTATTTTTTTTCTTTTGCTTCTCTCTCCAAGAACACTTCATTAATTATGGGACCTTCCAGAACCAAAATGGCTATTTTTATTGTTTATAAGATTTCTTTTAAGCTAACGATTTTCTTTTTGTATAAATGTATCATAGTTTCGTCCACATTGTTTTAGTTTTTTCTTCACCTTTGAAATAAATATAACTAAAGCAAGCTTAACTTTATTTAAGTTTTCTTTGCGAATTTTTTCAGTATTTTTTATTTCATTAAGTAAATCCTTCCATAATTTTTATTTATCAACTCCTAATTAACGTGTATTTGTGATAAGATCTAATCTTTTCATTGTTATCGTTTTTAAGAACCATCAATATAATAAAACTAATATATTAGACATTTTAAATTACATTGCATATTTTTTTACTTTAACACTGTTTCAAATTTTATCTTGTTATGACTTTTAACAATTTTTACATTGTTACATTCTGTAATAACCTAAGTTACTTAGTTAAGGGGCCATCCATAAAGGACGTCACTATTTTTTAGGGATTTTTTGACCCCCTTCCCCCTCCTTTGTTACCAATTGTCCTTTTTTACTATACCCCCTCTTAAAAAGGACGTCATATTTTGAGCTCCCCCCCCCCCAAAATTTTTTAAAAAATCCTTTCTTAATTTAAGCATTTTTATTGACAATTGTTACATGTGAATTACATTTTTCTCTGTTTAAATATCATTCAGGAGCTGATTAGGTATTTCCACGTATGTTTTTGCTCCTTTGCCTTTCTGAAAAAGAAAAAAAAATTATTTATTATTTTAGTCTTATTCTATATATTAAATTTAATTAAAGTGTGTCATGAGAACTTGCCTCACGCATCATCCATCCAAGGATTTTTTAAATAATCATCAATTGATATGATTGGAATAGAGCAGTCGGGTTCGCCTAAAATAGTTGAATCATTCGGAGTATGTAGGCCCTCCGTTTCGATTTCATCCTCATCGAACCATTAAGCAAAGGCCGCGTTCTCCTTTATTGCAATTACAGCCATTAACTCTCTTTTGCGCTTGGCGGCAATGCAAACCGGCCTGATTTGCGAAAAAGTAATAGCCATTTGGTTAATAACATTGGAATGAGTAACGCTGACATGCTTTTTGAGCATGACTTGGGAGGCAAAGTACAAGTTACAATGCTTGCAGATTCTCTGAGACAAACTTGATTGCACAGAGGGACAAAACAGATCGTAAGGAGGAAGTTTGAATGATATCAATGATCGAGGAATGGTGCTCTGAATATTGGAAGCGATAAGAAAAAATACAGAAGAAAAACGGTTCTTGCTGGCAACATCTGAAATGGCTACAGCTTTCAAGCCATTTTCTGACTGGCTAATTGGAATAGGTGGAGGCAGAAATCGACCAGGAATAACATGTAAGTAAGAGCTCCTTTTCAAAGCGCAACATGCGGGATCTTCACATTTCACAATTTGCTTGAAATATTGACTGGTGCGCACATGAGAGGCAAACCAGTCCTGATCCTTTGATAAGAGATGATGAACATCGAGCTCCGTCTTGTTGTCTGGATCGATATACTCGGCCACCGTTGGAAACTGATCAATCATCAGACCTGAAAAGACGGAGGCACAGCTATTTCCAGCAAACTTAAAGTTTTGTTTGTCCAAAAGAAGATCCACTGTCCTGCCTTAAATATAAGTCGCAAGGCATATAATTATTTCTTTATGCCTTGTATATATTTATATTTTGATAAAGAGTTGATATTAAAAATGAATTTGAATACCTTTAGAGTCTAGATGAGTTCCATAATGATCATGAGGTAAGATCAATCCTGCCAACTCTTTACTCAGTGGAGCCATCCTTTTTTCGGCTCGATTGAAAGCACTCCGTCCTGGCGCATTCGTCATGATCAATAAGGCATCCAAATCATTTGTAAGGAAATGATGTATTGCTGTAAACAAAATAAATATTTAAATTGGAAGAAACATAATTATATTGATAGATCGCAATAAAAAACTTGAAAAAGAAGGATATACCAATTTCGATGACTTTAGCGTATCGTGGATTTTCATCTGATCTACCATCAACACTGAAGACAACTACTGGCTTGACCAACTTGGTCAAAGGATCTTTTGTAATGGAATCAAACTCTGGCAGAGTCAAAAGTCGTTCAAAGTCCAATCCGTGAGCATACGCTGTCGATGATGAATGCTTTCCGGAACGAATAGCAACATAAGTGGGACCGGAATGGGAAACTGCGTCAGATTTTCCAAGCCCATCTGGTTTGATTGCGATACCTGCGTATACGGACGGGATGAGTTTGTGCTTTGCAGCGATGACCCAATCATGATCAGGAAGAGAAACTCGATATTCCATATGCATCAATATAGGAGCTTGTTTGTTGGCAGCAGTGATTCCTATAGGGATCTGAGCTTTATCGTCTTGACTTATAAAGCACACATCCTTTGGGCCCAAAAAAGAGCAAACTTCTTCCACATTCTTTATAGTTACTGTACAAAATGGACCATCCACGTGACTTGAATGGAGGTCATTTTGAGCCCGCATCAACTTGACTGGAACCGTGTGGACGTGTCTCTTCAAGCGAATCACTCCGTTTTGGCAGCAAACGAGTATATAAAGCACTTCTGCAGATGGTAACCTCTCTTTTCGAGCTCGGCACCAAGCTCATCCAACAATTTAAGGCTCTTTAAAAGTAATTTAAAAAAAATTATTAGTAAATAGAGTACAGTGTTTAGAGGCTGAAAAGTTATAATGAGACCTAATGTAGTCGAATAGAATTTTTATTAGCTAAAGTTGTACCCTATACACTTCAGATTGTCTTTTATCGTGGGCAGCAGATCCATGTTCAGCAAGTTGTATGATGACACGCAATATCTCAGATTGTTTTACCTCAATAGTAGGGCGACCGATTCCGTCACGTACTTTAAGAGCTTTTTTCACTTCCGGGTGGTAAGCAAACACCTACAGTACCAAAAAAACTATACAAATAATTTTGTTAATGTTTTTAGTTAATGTTCATTTTCTAAAATAATATTATTGTAACTTATTATTATATGATATAAATATTACCTGATTCATGACAGTTTTTTTTTCAGCCCTTGATTTTTGTTTTGACTTAATGTTGCCGATCAACTTATTAAGATTAGTCGTGAGTTCCTGGACATTGGCCTTCTTCTTTTTAAAGGTTTCTTCTTCAGCATCGGCCCATAAGCCACTTCTTTTTCTTCTCTTCATAGCAACTGTTTCTTGATTCAAAACAACAATTTCTGATTTGATTGTGTCTTGAGCATGAGTCTTGGCCTTCTTCGTCTCAATTTGAACTGTGCTTAGGATGTCAGGGCGAGAGATATCTGACGTGGTATCAACGATATCTATCGGCTCAATAATTTGATTTGTATCGGACTGGAACTCTAAAGCGGAATAACTGGAATGGGAAGGAACAGATCGCTTGGTTGTTTGATAGGCCCAAAATGACATTAAAAAACCTTTTTGTTTCAATACCATTGAGGTATACTTTTGGATCAAAGTCTTTACTTGATCCTCCAAATCTTTCTTTTCTTTGATCTCATTCCATATTTTATGGACTTTTTTTTGACTATCAACTTTTTTCTTAAACGGACGAGCATTATTGTACGATTTTATAAGCGAATTTAGAAGACTATTTTTATCCATCTTTTGATATACAGACAACAATGTTGTTTGACACTTTTGCCACACATGGAAAAAATAACAAAAAAATATGCTCTATGTATTGATTGCTGCATAACCAATTCCCTTTGGACAACCATCTGCAATATTCGCTTTAGACAATCATTAATAATTGCTACACAAGCGATTCCCTTCAGACAAATATTTGTAAAACTCTATTTAAAAATCATAAATGATATCAATACTATGGGGACGAATTTCGTTAAAAGAATTTGAACAAAAACCCGTAGCGCGTAACTAGTGATATATGTTGTACGAGAAACTACCAAGTGTTTAGAAATATATAATTAATTGTAATATATTTATATCGTATCACATATATCACAGGTATATAAACTTTATATAAATATCAACACGAATTTCTTTCTTTTATTACAACGTAACATTCACTTACGATAACTTTAGAAAAACAAATATTAACATAAAAATACGTAAAATAAAAAAATTCTATAAAGTGACGTCCTTTTCTGATGACCCCCTCCTCCCCTTGTCCTTCTTTGTCCTTTTAATCTTGACCCCCCTCCCCCTATTTGCATGACGTCCTTTAAGGATGGTCCCTAACTTTATATTACATGTAATATAATGTTAACTAAATAATGTGTTATTACAGGATGTAGCAATTTGGTATTTCTTGAAACGGGAAATACCAAAGTTGTTCAATTAAGCTTTTTTCAAACATGTTGTACTTATCGAATAATAAATCGTTTTTTAAAATTGTCAATAAATATTTTAACAAACTTTTGAATGACAAAAGCACGTTTTTTAAAACTATATTTAATATTTTTAATGACAATGAGTCGTTATAATGACAAAAGCACGTTTTTTAAAACTATATTTAATATTTATGGTTTAAAAACTATATAAGAACAAGTTCTACAAGCAAGAAACTTAACTTAAAGTTTCCCGCCAATTTCATTTGTTTGATATAATAAAGTTCTTAGCAAAATGGCGGAAAACAAGGTTTTTATAAAATCATCAACATTTGTTTTTCTTTAATAACTTCCAATACCGCTAGAGACCGCAGTAATCCTTTTACATTCCTAAAGTAGAAATGTTAATTAACTGGAAAATTTATATATATATTTTTGGAACTCGGTGGAACATTTTTTTAGCTGATATAAAAACAAAAAAAATACAATTATTTTCTACTTTTTTTTAGAGAAGTCTTTAAATTTAAACGAAAAAATCAGACTTTTTTTTTTCTTTTTAGTATATTTGAAATATATAGATTCAAAATATTATTTTAAAAATAAATATACACTTTTATTTAAATTTCATATTCTCTAATTTAGTTGAATAAAAACCTCACGTTTTTCAGATTTCTTTAAAAATAATATCAAATTTTTTCACTTCTTTTACCTATAAAATACAAAATAAAAGCTTTATGAAAAAATTATTTTTACTTTTGATATAAAAAATCATTGTCTTTTAATATTATCTAACAAAGGGCACTTCATTTATAAAAAAGGGGTTTATTGCCATTTTTTGTTGTTTTGAGTCACTGTGCAGCGTTATCAAAACTGATAACGCTGTTGTTGTATGTTGTTGTTGTGCTAAACAAATTTTATACCAATATCTACAAAGTGATGCGATCATTACTGAACAAGAAGTGTTAAAATGAGTCTATTCTCAGAGGCAGGTAACATTTTTGATAAAAAAAAACAGTTCATTTGTTGCCCAAAACTGGATAGTAACTAATTGCACTACAATATTCATAAACTTTTAGAAATCCTTACATAAGTGATTACTCCAAATAAACATAGACAAAGTTACAGTTAAGCGGTCTAAAATAATTTTGTTTGTTTGTTTGTTGTGCTTGCTCAAAGTGGTGACTTTTTAATATAAACGTAGAGAATATTTATTGGCTTTAGTACATGCATTGAATATCTTATATCCTCCTGCTACAAGGGAGTACTGCTACATCCTTTATCTTTTATCCTGCTGCAACAAAGGGAGTGTTGCTATATCGACAATCTTATAGCCTGCTGTACATACTACATCGACTGAGGGATTGGCATAGGGCAGCAATTTTTTTTCTTTTCTTATTTACTTTAAAACTTCTGATGTTTAAAAACCCTCCGTTGACAAGAGTGCAACAAGCAAAAAAATAAAATTATTTTAGACCACTGATCTGTAGCTTTACCTAAAATTACGTTGTATTTGTTAAGAATTTTGTATTTTTTTTTTAGGTTTACCTATAGTTCTTCATTTTCCTGTAGGACAATGACTTTTTGATTTAATTTACACAGTCTGGATCACATGTCTTAAAATAAAAGTAAAATTGACATCAGTGGGGAAGACAAATTCCGGCATTCCGGCCTGAAATATTCTAATTCCGGCCGGAACTGGAATGATCTAAAAGTTGAAACGAAATTCCGGTACACCCCTAACAAGAAGTAAAATAGGAGTGGTTATACTTTATGGATATACCTTATACTTCCGTTCTACTTATACGCAAATATACAAACACACACAAACACAATAATTAGAATTACTTTACTTTTTAGCGTCCAAATATTTTGTGAAACATTCTTTTTATTAGATGATATGCAATGTTTTCTAACAATAAATATTTAAGCTAAGATAATATTCTACGTTTTGTTATTATTTTCTTATTACATAGTTTTTGAAAAACAACGTCGAATGAGCACTCACACTAAAATGAGATCCGAAGCACTCGTAATGTTTGGAGTTTTGTTTGATGTTTTTTAAACTTTTGTTTTACGTAATAAAGCTTCTTTTATTACTTATTAAACTTTTGTTTTATGTTAGCTTTTTTTATTACTTATAAATTTATAAGGAATTGATCAAATAGTTAATGATAAATGTTAATGATTGTTATTATTGAGTATTCCAATTATTTTTATCTTCTTATTATTATTTTTCTTTTTTTTATTATTGTTATTATTATTATTGTTATTATTATAGTTATTATTAATATTGTTATTATGATAATAATAATTATTATTATAATTATAGTTAACAACATGATACATAAAACAACATTATTATCTGATCATTTTTATTTAAATATATAATTATTTGACACATACGAGTTAACCGCTGTCCAACACGTATTGTTACTTTGTTTGTTTGTTTTCCTTTGTTTTTCTGTAAAAAAGGGGAAATCATTTTTGTTACTAGGTTCTAATTAGCCCAATTTTTGATAAATCATCCTCATTTTAAATTATAATGAACATACAAGGTTTAGAGTTTAGAAATTATCAAAAAGTTACAAAACTCAATTGGTTGAAATTACTTTATTTAAATGTTTGAATTTGATTAAGTTAATTACAAAATAAACTTATAGCTACCCCCTGATTTTAGTTTTATCGATTAAACTTAAAATCTTTTTTTTTTTTTTAAGTTATACTTTAAGTTTATACATTTAAGTTAAAATACTTTTTTATTTTTGTAATAAGTTTACAAGGTGCTTTAGAAGGTGCTTCTAATGTTTATTGCAATTCTAATCTTTAGTTTTGAAAGCGCTTCAAATGTTTAGCTGCAAACATATTAAAAAAATAAAATTTAAAAATTACGCAATATGAATTTTCTAAAAAGACGTGAGAAAAACTTTCGTTTTGTTTTTGTATTTGTTTGCACTCTGATTTGCGTTTATCTTAACAAACACCCTTGCGCTTGTTGTGCAACATCCGATAGGTTTAAATTCAAAATAATCTCATACAGAAGGTTTTGAAATGTATTTATAGTAAAAAAGAACGTGCGCTTTTTACTTACTTCTTTTAAGTCTTTGCAAAAACTGCAGTCTTCAAGTGGTCTAACAATTTCGATAGTCATTCCACTAAAACCAATTAAACAGCTGCTGTCCCACGAAAATATGTAACTTTTAAAGATTTCCGTAGCATACTGCCATGGCGATGAATGCTCATTCTTAGGTAACTGAGCGCCGAATAAAAATGCAATCAAAACTAATACGGTTCCAATATATATTGATCTACGGGGATTTTTTGAATATTTTGGAACCAAAATTCTTCGTTTGTTTATAGCGTTTTCAATATCGCACTGCTCCAAACCGTTAGAAAGAGCTTCTAAAAATAATTTGTTTAAAGTCACATCCATGTCGTCTACTAATGCCAAAAATGTTGCGTTTTTAATTATTACATCCTTATCAACAACATTTTAAAAACAGCTTTTACTGCATTATTATAACAAAGTAGTTTCTTTTTTAAAGTACTCCTCCGCAATTTTTTTGACCACTAAACGATTGTTTAAAATTTGTAATTGGAGAGTAGTTTACTTAACAATATCGTTTGTTTAAAAGATTATTTTTAAAAATATATGGCGCTATAAATACTTCATTTTTTAATTCAAATATTTATATAAAAAATAAAAGTATTTACTTTATAATTTATATAATTATTTATTAGTTTATTATAAGAATTAATTTCGAAAGTTCATTGATATTATTATTATATAAATCGATTTCAAAACCTTATAGAATTAACAATTAATTTTTTAAAAAACGAAAGAAATCGTTAACAGAAAAGATTTTTCGATCGATGACGTTGATCTTTTTATATAACAATTCTTTAGAGGGACTCAATAGAGTTTAAAAACAGCTAGCACAAACGTAAATGTTTAACAGAGTCTGGTTTTGGTGCTTAACCAAGGAACAAATATTTTTACATAATTTACATAACTTTTTTTCCAGGAACACTAAAATCTAATCCTCTCAAAAACATCAACCTTTTCTGGAAAACAAAAACAATGTGGATAATTGAGGTGTGCTTGATGAGTTTCTGAGTTGGTTAGAATTGGTTTTAAATAGCCAATATGTATTAGATTTCAGACAGATGACAGATGAACCAACTAATAACTTCTGTTGCGGAAAAGAAAACTTTAAAATAAATTAAACTAATAAGTCTTTGAAAAACTTTATTATATAAGCTTATTAGCTTGAGCAAACATTACAAACTTGCGCTTACGTGTTCTTATAGTGCGCGTAAAAGTGCACGTACTTTTTTAAAATTTTAATCGTTTTCTTGTATTAGAATGACAAAGTTCTAACTGATCGAAAACTAATATTTAGAAAATGGATATCAAAATCAATGTTTTATATATTTATGGAGAATTATTTCTTGACCTTTTTTAATAGTTTAGTATTTTACCAACTTGTTGCTTTTTCATTTATAAAATAAAATAGACTTTGTCATTTTCCTTAATATCCCTCGAAGGTTTTTTTTTTCTTCTTTCATTTAGTTTTTGATCTTAATCGGTAATCGTTGAAATATTTTGTTGCAACAGTTGAACTTAAACGGAGCTTATATTTTTTAGGAAACATATTACTTTATTGTTGTACATTTTAGAAACTTGAACCCTCTTTACTTTTCTCTTCTTTAGAGTTTTAAGTATCAGACCATTTTTTTTTTTGTCCCTGAAGTGGTGTTTCTGATTTTCAAGATTGAATATGCATGTAAGTAGTTAATCTGAAGCAATCTTCAATATCTTTAGATCAACAATAGCTGATCTGAAGCCAAGAGGCGATTGCCACAAAGAGATTACTTTTGTTGATGTTTTCTTTGTAACATTTGTAAAAATGGGATTTTAAATTTGGATTTTGTTATTATTTTTATTTTGTCAGTAAAGCTAATTAATACTTAATTACATAATTATTGTTCGAAGATATTTTAGAAGTTTTAAAAGCGCTAATTATAATAAAATATCAGTAGTGGTTAGGTTTTTTTGCGTGTCTTTTTGTAAATGAAACTCTGATTTTACTAACTCTTGTTTACCAAGGTTACCAGGTTCGTTTCAAAGAAATAAAGGGGTTTCAAATTTACGTCAAAAAGCAAATATAAATGTAACTTTTTGAAAAAAGTTTATTTTTAAGTCAACTACATATTATTAGAAAGAAGTTCTTAACTACCATATATCTTTAGCTGGTTAAGAATTAATAAAGAAGAGAATAAAATATCTTTTATCTGCTCTGATAATGTTTCAGGTTTTGTTAGGCATTTTAAGATCCTTGTAAAAAAACTTTACTTAGTTAACGACTATTTTAAACGTTTGATTACAGGGTTTATGCGAAATATAAAACATTTTTTAAGAAAATATAAAGCATATTTTAAGAAAATATAAAACATTTTTTAAGAAAATATAAAACATTTTTTAAGAAAATATAAAACATTTTTTAAGAAAATATAAAACATTTTTTAAGAAAATATAAACATTTTTTAAGAATATATAAAACAAGTTTTATAAAATTATAAAACATTTTAAAAATATATATGAAACATGAAATAAACTAAACTTTTAAATGAACTAAAATGCTTTATATTTTCTTTAATAAAATATTTTCTTCAAGAAATTATAAAACATTGTAGTTTATATTTTCTTGTTTTTAATCAATAGTGCATTTATAATACATAAAGTTATTCATAAATTTCTAAAGAATAAAGAGTATTTTTTATATAATTATAACTCATTATACTTAAAGATATAATATAAATAGCAAAGTATCCACTTTAGTAAAATTCTTGTCTTGCTATGCCTTTCAAAACTCATCTTCTCACATTATAATACCAACCACAAAAATCAATGCTAATTGTCGGTATAAGCGAATTTAAAGTAGCCTTAACTTCATTGCTAGTTTTTGGAAATGGCCTTATAAAAGTGTAATTAGCTTTAAGACAACTAAAGTATTCCTCAATCGGGTTCAATTGTGGTGTATAATGTGGCAAAAAGTAAACTGAAACACTGAATTGGCTGAGCATATTGATTACATCTCTTTTACGGTGAAATGCACAATTATCCAATACTAGTACAGAATGGGGATTCGTTTGGAAATACGGTCTTAAATTGTTGGTTATAAAATCGCAAAAAAGATTGCCATTATAGGCACCATCCACTATCTTAAAGCTTAAAATACCATTAACTGTTATAGCGGCCATGAGACTTACATTCTTTCCATGATTTGCTGGCACTGTAACAAAACATTTTGTATTCTTTATAGAATAGCCATACTGCTTAGAAGTATGTAAATTAAAGCCTGTTTCATCTAGAAACACTAAGTTATTGTCAGGAATCGAATTAATAGTCCTGCAAAAACTTTATCTTAAATCAATGTTTTGCGGTACTAATGTAAGTCGTTTTCTAGTGAACTCCATCGACTTAAGATATTTAGATATTGTTGGTATAGATGCATTAATATTCCTTTCAACGAGAATATTTCTCAATGATGCTAACGTATGAAATGGATCATGCTTAATTAACAATTGAATTTCAGATTTAAGTGTCTTGTCATAAGAGCTGCGCTTTCCTTTTTTTACTGATGCGATTTTATCATCACTTAGTCCTTTACAGATTTTGTCAGAAATAGAACCTGTTGCAGAAACTGATATTTCAACTTCTTCCGCAATTTCTTTTAACTTCATTTTTTTAAGAATTGACTTTCTTATTGTTTTTACCTATCCTTTGTATATATCCTTAATATCCTAATATATATATCCTATATATCCTAAATATCCTTTGCAATAAGTGTTCTTTTTTTTCTTTCTCTTTTGTTTTCCATTTATCGATTAAAACAACAAAATAAAGATTGAATAATATATTTTTACAGATCACTTCTTTGTTTTGAATAAACCGCATAAATTCCATTGTTTAGAATAATTACATAATTGAATATTTTATGTTAAAATATTAAACATTTAATTAACTATTTAAATGTTTTACATTACCTTAAAATTTGTTTTATATTTTCTTTAAAAATGTTTTATATTTTCTTGAAAAATGTTTTATATTTTCTTTAAAAAATGTTTTATATTTTCTTAAAAAATGTTTTATATTTCGCATGAACCCTGTAAACTGGTGCAAGACTTAATTCTGTTTACATCTTAGTTAATTCTGAAAAAATTCTCCGTAACCGTATCATACAAATACATATAAAAATAACAATTAAAAATGAAATAAAAAATAACTAAGAAAAAATAATAGTAAAAGTTAGCAGTAATAATAGTAAGAAGAACAAAATTACGAATAATTAAGAATTGTCAACAAGTTAATTGGTCAAGTAAATTTAGAAGGCATGAGACTTTCTTGTTTCAAATATATTAATACATTTTAAAATGTATTGAGGTCCATTAATAATCGTTTTGATTCTTAAATTACTTAAAGAACAAGAGCAAAATAATCATTAATTAATTAATATTTAAATAACTATTTAATACTTAAGAATATATATATATATATATATATATATATATATATATATATATATATATATATATATATATATATATATATATATATATATATATATATATATATATATATATATATATATATATATATATATATATATATATATATATATTATAAGCATTAAAACATCATATACGATATTATACTACTTACTGCATTTTTTAAGCAATACTTCAGCTCTTATAATAAGAACCATTATCAAATAGTCAACTTTCCAACTCGTTTTCATGAAAACCCAAATCATTTACCTTTTTTACTCGGCTTGTGTCTTGTTTCTAATCCTAGTCAGTGCTAATTTTCTCCACATTCACCCTTAGGCGCCTATAATCAGGGTTTGAATGATGGCCTTTTGGTTGAAATCTTTCGTCTGCTGACGAACGTTCTTTTTATGTAACATTTTGAATTCAGGCTGGCATGGAATCTTTTATTCCCTCTCAACAAATCAAACTCAAGCCTTACTCTTATCCATGATTATCCTTTCATTGTGCTGCTGCAATTTCCAATCGTAACCATAACTTCTATATCTGTTGCCAAAATAATTCTTTAGAAAACAGACGTCTGTTTACTATTACTAGACACAATTGTAAAAGGTTTTGTATAATGTTTAAGCTCGCTCTCAGGTCATGAAATCTTGTATTTATTTATTTAATTGCCGCGTTGAGCAAATGCTCACTGAGTGGTAATCCACTTTAGCAGCAAGTTTAAAAATTACAATTTGAAATTTTATTTCACATAATAAAGTTCATAAAGACTTTTTTGAACTTAATAAGTCAGTGTTAAACAAGAGTTTATCACTGACTTATTAAGTTCAACATCAAACGGCAAATTGTTCCAATTGGAATAATACAATTGTTCCAATTGGAATAATACAATTGTTCCAATTGGAATAATACAATTGTTCCAATTGGAATAATACAATTGTTCCAATTGGAATAATACAATTGGAAAAAGTATTTCTTCTACTCTAGTGT